AGCAAGGACGCTACTAGGGTCTCCTGGCCTTACTACTAGTAACAAGAAGCTACCAGTAGAAGCGGGCACAGCTGTGTTTTAGTTGCTTCTTTTTTCGATCCATCTATGTGTTTACATTGACAAGGTCAGTGCGTTCTACATCAAGAATGATTCATGTCTTCTTGGTGATCTTGTCTCCCATTAGACTTTTACTGTTACTGCTGTTGGCTCCTGTGTCAACTCTGTGTATCACCCCTGTATCCACCTGCGGCTGTGAGAGCTCGTCGAGGCTTGGAGAGGCTCATTGCGAAAACATATCACGAGGCTCAATGCGTTTGATCTAGGGGTTCCTGGCCTTACTACTAGGAACAAGTGCATCGCTTTTAGTAACAAGCTCTTGCACGATGCATGTTGGTTCCTTGTGTTGCGAACTTTGCCGCTTGTGTTGCGCTCTTTGCCCCTGAGCCCAGCTGAAGCAAGATTCAATGCGAAACGGTCGTTTTTGAAAAGAGAAAGAAACGAACGTTGCTTACGTATGACCTACGTTACCTGCGTATTATCCACTAACTCGAGGCTTTTGAAGCCTTTAGCAAACTACGATAAGTAGCTCATGTCACGGTAACTCTGTAACCCTCTAGAAAGCCTTTAGGGCCTGTGCCGTCGCCACTAGTAACAAGGTTCCCTACGTCCGTAGCTCCTGGCATGACTACGAACGGAGCAGGGCCCTTTGCCGAATTCATGTGGTGTTCGATCAGGGCCAGGAACAAGGACGCTACTAGGGGCTCCTGGCCATATTACTAGGAGCAAGAAGCTACTAGTAACAAGTGCATCGCTTCTAGTAACAAGTGCCTTACTGGTAGTAACAAAGAGCTATTAGGATTAATTTAAAATTGTATTAATAGCTTAATAGCTTCTTGTTTCTACTAGTAAGGCACCTGTTACTACTAGCGTGGCACCTGTTACTAGGAGCAAGAAGCTCGTCACCGAACCTGGGCGTTCGGATCCGTGGGCGGCAGCGGTAACACCTGGGCGACGCGGCTGGGCGCGGCTGGGCGGTCGCGCCGTTGCATTCCCAAAACGAAAAGGACCGGGTAGGAGCTCGTAGCGTCCTTGTTACTACCAGTAAGGCACTTGTTACTAGTAGCGATGCACTTGCTACTAGTAGCTTCTTTGTTACTAGTAGCGTCCTTGTCTTTAGCTTCAAAGACCTCCTAGTAGCGTTCGATCGCTCCTAGTAGCGATGCCCTATGCTACTAGTAGCTTCTTGTTCCTAATAGCGACGGCTTCCAAAAACAAAAAGAGAAAAGAACAAAACGAAGAAAGAATCAAAGAAACCTAAGAGCAGCTATGGCCTCCAACCTACTACCGATGACCTCCAACCTAGAAGCAATGGCCTCCACATATAAATGGTGCCACACAGAGTCCAGCTCTGGCCCACACTGAAGAAGGTGAAATGATATAAAGACACACATGTGTTTTCTCCCTTGTTTTGATCCTTTCTCCCGAAGAGCTTCTCCGGAGGAAAAATCTCAAACGAGACAGTCCACCGACCGGACAGGCCTCCCACACCTCCTTGTAGTAACAAGTGCATCGCTTCCAGTAACAAGTGCCTTACTAGTAGTAACAAGAAGCTATTAGAAACAAGTGCATCGCTTCTAGTAACAAGTGCCTTACTAGTAGTAACAAGAAGCTATTGGTTAATTTAGTTTTAGTTTAATTCTAATAGCAAGAACTTCTCCTCCACCGACCGGACAGGCCTCCCACACCTCCGCATGGGTCTCAGGACACTCCGCCGACCATATGGGCGCCCTCTCTGGGAGCCGCTGGTTCGATGCAACCTCCTCGCAACGTCGCATTCCGCCAGGTGGGAGGCCATTGCTATTGGGTTGGAGGCCATCGCTCCTAGCAGCTTCTTGTTACTAATAGCTTCTTGTTACTACTAGTAAGGCACCTGTTACT